GTCAATTCTCCCCAAATTAATCTATAGATTCAACTCAGAGTCTCAGCATGATTTTTTGTGTAGACATTGACAAGCTAATTCTAAAGTTTTTATAGAAAGGCAAAGGAACTAGTTTAACCAAAATAATTTTGAAAAATAAAAATGAAGTTAGAAGGACTTCACCATCTGATGTCAAGATTTGCTATAAAGCTATAGTTATCAAGACAAGGTTGTACTGGGGGAGCCTGGATGGCTTAGTCAGTTAAGCATCTGCCTTCTGTTCAGGTCATGATCCCGGAGCCCTGGGATTGAGCCCTTCGTCAGGCTCCCTGCCCAGTGGGGAGTCTGCTTCTCCTTCTCCCTCTGCTCCTCCCCGAGCTCGTGCTCTCACTCACTCACTCTCTCCAATAAATAAATAAAATCTTAAAAAGGAAAAAAAAAAAGACAAGGTTGTATTGGCAAAGGACAGACATGTAGATCAATTGAACAGAATAGAGTCTAGAAATAGACCAACACAAATGTGGTCAATTGATTTTTGACAAAGGTGCAAAGGTAATTAATCTTTTCAACAAAGGGTGTTGGAACTATTGAACATCCATCCATATCCCAAAAAAATGAACCTTACATCAGATACAAAATTAACTCAATTTTGTTAACACATACTAAGTGTAAAACCTAAAATTACAAAACTTCTAGAGGAAAACAAAAGAGAAAACATTTGTGAACTTGGGTTCAGCAAAGGGATTTTAGGTATGACCCCAAAGCACAATTCATGAAAGAAAGAATTGATAAATTGGACTTCATCAAAATTAAAAACTACTCTGTCAATGATACTGTTAAGAGACTGAAAAGATAAGCCAAAGACTAGGAGAAAATGTTTGTAGATCACCTATCTGATAAGACTTGTATCCGGGGGGGCCAGAGTGGCTCAGTCAGATAAGTGGCTGACAACTGATTTCAGCTCAGGGTCCTGGGATCGAGCCCCATGGCAGGCTCCATGCTCATTGGGGAGTCTGCTTCAGGAGTCTCTCTCCCTCTCCCCCTGCCCCTCCCCCTGCTCATGCTCACTCTCTCTGTCTCTCTCTCTCAAATAATCTTAAAAAAAAAAAAAAGACTCGTATTCAGGGGGGCCCTGTCTGGCTCAGCTGGTACAGCATGCAACCCTTGATGCTAGGGTCATGAGTTCGAGCCCCACGTTGGGCCTAGAGCTTACTTAAAAATAAAAAACAAAAAGCAAAAAAATAATAACTTGTATCCGGAACATGTAAAGAACCCTCAAAACTCAGTAATAAGAAAACTCAAAAAATAGGCAAAAATTTGAATCATCAAAGAACACATAATAATGGCAAACAAGCATATGAAAAGATGTTTAACATCATTAACCATTAGGGAATTGCAAATTAAAACCACACTGGGATAGCATTACCTACCTATTAGAATGGCTAAAATAAAAAAACCAAACAAAATAAACAGCATCAAGTGCTGACAAGAAAGGGAAGCAACTGAACTCTCATCCATTATTGCTGGGAATGCAAAATGGTACAGCTACTTAGAAAAAGAGTTTGGTAATTTCTTAAGTTAAACATACATTTACCATATGATCTAACCATTCCACTTACAAGTAATTACACAAGAAAAATAAAAACTCATGTTCACACAAAAACCTGTATACAAATGTTTATAGTGACTTTATTCATATTTCCACCCAAACTGAAAAAAACCAATGTCTTTTTTTTTTTTAAAGATTTTATTTATTTATTTGACAGAGAAAGACAGTGAGAGAGGGAACACAAGCAGGGGGAGTGGGCACAGGGGGAAGCAGGCTTCCCGCTGAGCAGGGAGCCCAATGTGGGGCTCGATCCCAGGACGCCGGGATCATGACCTGAGCCGAAGGCAGACGCTTAACCAACTGAGCCACCCAGGTGCCCCAAAAACCAGTATGTCTTTAAAGGAAGGAAGAGGGGGGCGCCTGGGTGGCTCAGTTGGTTAAGCGACTGCCTTCGGCTCAGGTCATGATCCTGGAGTCCCTGGATCGAGTCCCACGTCGGGCTCCCTGCTCAGCGGGGAGTCTGCTTCTCCCTCTGACCCTCCCCCCTCTCATGTGCTCTCTCTCTCACTCTCTCTCTCAAATAAATAAATAAAATCTTTAAAAAAAAAAGGAAGGAAGGAAGGAAAAGGGAAAGGAAAAGGAAAAGGAAAAGGTGAAGGAAAAAACAAACTTCGGTTCGTCCAAACGATGGAATACTCCTCAGAAATAAAAAGGCACAACAGACCAGTGATAGATATAGAACACAACATGATGGCTCTCAAATGCATTAGGCTAAGCAAAAGAAGCCAGACCAAAAGGCTGCACAATTTCATTTATATGACATTCTGAAAAGGCAAAACCATAGGGGGAGGGAAGAGATCTATGGTTGCCAGAGGTTGGGGGTGGAGGAAAGGTATGATTATAGAAGGGCAGCATGAGAGAATGGTTTTTGGGTGATGGCACTGTTCTGTATTTTGATTACACAGGTGATAACATGCCTATGCATCTGTCAAAACTCAAGGACATGTACACCAAGAAGAGTGAATGTAAAATATATAAATGAAAATACCTTTCTTAATTGAAATGATAGTTTAGGGCTGGAGACTAATCCATGAGGAAAGGCTAAAGAGACTAGAATGCTTATTTTTTAGAAAAGCAGGTTTAAAAAGCACATTGTATCTGTTTTCAAATGAATCCACAAAATTATTTTGGGCCCCAAATCAAGAACACTGAAAATAAAGGAATGCAACTCGACAACATGATAGCTAAATTTAAGCTTAAAACTATACCTGAAATCTGGTATGTCTTAATAAAACTATTTAAAAAAAAACAAAAAAACTATACCCGAAACATTTTTTTTTCCTTTACCCCAGTGTTTCCCAAACTTTTCTAGTAAGAATCAGATGAAAACCTGTTAAAAATAGATATTCCCAGGGCCCTTCTCTAGAAATTCTGATTTTGTAGTCTAGGTTAGGGACCAGAAAACTTTTAAACTGCACCCCTGAAAAAGGAACTTTTTAAGGAAAACAACTGCTACTCATAATTCTTTCTTAGCTACAAGGTCAAGCAAAAAAAAATTTTAATTGTCTATTTGGTCATGATCTGAAAGTTTTCTAGTATACCAGAATAGTGATCTCTGCACTGAAATAATCACACGTCAGAAAAATTCAAGATGATCCACTGGGATAAGAAAGAAAATACAGATGATGCTTGAAAACATGGGGGGTTAGGGTGCTGACCCCTTGCGCAGTTGAAAACCCACATATAGCTTTTGACTCCTCAAAAACTTAACTATTAATAGCTTACCGTTGACCAGATGCCTTACTGATAACATAGTCTTTTAACACATATTTTGTATGTTCTACATATTATATACTATATTCTTACAATAAATTAAGCCAGAGAAAAGATTAAAGAAGAGGAAATACATTTACAGTACTGTATCAAAAAAAAAAAAGCCACATATTAAGTGGACCCACATAGTTCAAACCTGTGTTGTTCAAGGGTCAACTGTATTGGTCTTCTATACAAATTTACTTTAAACCTCATACTTCAAAATTTTCTGTTTTAGGTTTGTTTTATAATGCATACAATAAATTACTGCAATAGTGCATGCTTGTTTTTACCCCCCAATAGGATGTGTGATCAAAAAGAGCAGAAACCACTGCTCTGGGACTCCTGATTTATTATCTCCTCCCTAAATTTGACCAGTCTTCATCCTCTCTCCTATTTTGCAATAAGACCCCCACAATCCTCATATATAACACCTGCCACCACTCTTTGCCTACCCAACACCATTCATTACGCCTATATTGACACCCCAGGGAGGAGAGCATCATCCCTCTGGATAAAGGACACAGCTTTTTTCCTTGACTGAGATCTTAAAAGCTGCTTATTATATTGTATCTAGTATGAAATTTGGAAAGTGCCCACCTTTCCATACTACTCTTAAAGTCCAGTTGAGTCCTGACACTTGAAGATTCCACTCACCAATGTAATAGTTGTGATTTCGATTCTTCACAGGTGTCTGAAGTTGCGTGACAAGCAGTAATCTGATTTTGCTGAGTCACAAATCTAAATCAAGTATGTTTCCAGGTGTGCGGACCAAACTGTCTAGCAGGTGAGTGACCCAAGCCGCCTGCCCAGTATTTACTCTCACATACCTATACTCTTCGTTCTCTGCTCATTGTTCTTAGGGTCAGGAAAGACTTCTTTCACTTTTTTAGTTCTCCTTTACTGCAGAGATCCCCACCAAATACCTACAAGTTTACTGTAAAGACTCCTTGAATCCAAATGTGTATAATGTTTATTTTTTCAATTAAAGAACACTAAAAATACAATTACTATCATGTAGAATTTGGGAAGTTTTTAAGTGGGCTTTTTTTTTTTTTAAGATTTTATTTATTTATTTGAGAGAGAGAGAGAATGAGAGATAGAAAGCGCGAGAGGGAAGAGGG